GAGTATCATGAACTGATATAGTTTCATCTAGTTTATTATTGATCTTTATAGTTTTATCTAATCTATTGTGAGCTTATATAATTTTACCTGATATATTATTAATTTCTGTAATTTTGTCTGGTCTATTGTAAGCTTATATAATTTTGCCTAGTGTATCATAGACTTCTCTTATTTTAAATTTAAAAAATGCTTCATAAAGTGATTTTTTATAAGCTTTACAGGGTGCTTTATTATAGATAATTACAAAAGAAGAAAGAATATCGATCTATTAGTAATCCTGAACTTCAGAAACTTTATTTCATAACATTTTTATTAGATGCTAACCAAGTATTTGATTAAATCTCTTGATCTTATCTTGACTTTGCAGATAATAGATATAACTATGAACAAGTTGCATTTTGAATACTTTGCAAATATATTTTAAAATACTGATTATAAACTCTGATTTATTATCCACTTGGAGTTTTGAGAGTAGATCAAAACTCATAAAGACTTTAATCAATTCATGATGAATTGTACTATCTTTTTTATCTTGAAGTGGAATGGTCTAAATATAATGTAAAAATATATTAATCATCATGAGAATAAAACTATATTTATTATTATACTTGACAAAAGAAAGTAAGTCAACTAAGTTGACTTAAATATATTTGAGAGGGCCATCAGCTATAATAGGTATTAAATTAGCTTTTTCTTTAATTCTGATATTTCAGATGCAGGTTGAGTAATTTCTTATATACTTCTTGACTTCATCTTGAGTAATATTAATGTGTTACTTGAAGAGCATCATGTATATTTTGTAATACTTAAAGTGAATGATTCTAATATGAAACTTTTTGAAGAGAGCTGCTTTTAACTCTGTATTATAGACTAGAATAACTCTTTTGAAGATAGATCAGAAATTTTCATCTTTTGATAGTTGAATATATAAAAGATAATTCTTTTGATGATTATATAAAAAATTTTTGTATCATTTTTAGAAATTCACTCTCTTTGTCAGGATGTCATACTTTGCTGTAAAAGTACCAGATCTGAGATATCTCAAAATATTATTAAAATCCTTGGATATGTTTGATATTTTTGAAAGCTTGATCATTTTGAAAGAAGATAATGAAAAATTAAGAATTATGTGATATGTTTATCTAGTACATAATAGTTATATTTGTGTTTGAATTTGTCTGACATGCAGTATTTATATTTGTGTTTAGTGCATAAAAATTATGATATACATGATGCAAGTAAAATTATACTTATTTACGTATCTTGATTTTAATATGATCTTCTTTTATATAACTGATAGAGATAACTTGACTCAGTACAAAATACTGGAAAATAATATGAATATCACAAAGTAAAATCCAGTATAGCCTTCTTTCATACAATTAACAGAAATGATACAAAATACTGAAAAGCAAATAAAAGCAAAATCTAGCATAAAGTACTTAAGAAATCAACAGCAAAAAGTATGACAAATATTGAAAAGATATGGCAAATATGATGTTGGATCCACTAGTGGAAACTTTGTTAGTTATTATGCTACTACTTGATCAGTATTTTATCAGCTCGTTTAGTTGTTAATGATATTTTATTTACTGGAGTATATTATGATATTTGTCAAGACTTCTCAAGTTGAGAGTAACGTTATGATTTGTTTATTTATTATCATTATGAAGTATTCTGAGATGACAAAACCAGTAATTTTTGACAAGAAATATATCAAGAGATGGCAATTTTGATGGCAAGAAACAAAATAGTAGCATCAAGCAGCGGCAATTTTGATGACAAGAAACAAAGTGATAATTTTAAGATCTAAGCAAAAGAAAATTTCATAGTTTAGTAAGTCAAATACATAATTCTGACATACTAATCACAAAATAATACCAATTTAATGATCTATTTAATGATTTTTAACATCAACTTAGCATAATATGGAAGTGGTAGGTGTGATGGAAAAAATCACTTTGTATTACTAATAATATGATTAATACTAAATTACATACTATAATGATTTTAAATAAATAAAACACATGATATGACATCACGTGATATACACAAAAAATTGGTCCAAATTTCATTTTAATCTGCCACAATAATTTCTGAATTTTCAAAGCTCTATCAAAAAATAATTATTTAACTTCTATTGAGATATTCGGACATATATACAAATATAACTTACATCAAATTACTGAATTATTGCATTGATATTTGGAATTTTCATAGTATTTACATTCTGCATACTGTTGTTGAAATCCAGCAATATGATTAATATTCCCATATAGAACTTTAACAATAAAGTTGTAGATATTTATGATTATCATTATACATATATTCTGTATCGGTATAAATGCATTTGTTTATCATCATTTATTGAGTACAAATGCCTTAATTGGTGATGATTTATGAACTTAACCATATGTATAATTGTGTATGGGTATTTATGATATTGGTTAGTAACTATGCGCATAGACACATCTCTATTTAAAACCCGTGAATATTCTGATGTGACCAGCAAATGATCGACTCATACTACCTATAACGACTGCATAAAAAAATATCCATAATCATAAAGAGAGAATGGTTAAAGTATAGTCCATCATGTGATAAATCTTCATGATTTATAAGGTCTGGGTAAGGGTAATGGTTAGAGCAAAGGACAAGATTATATGTCCAAGACAGATTTAGGCATTAGTTTTCGAGTAATATTCATTTTTCATATCTCGTGTTGGATTTGGTTTTCCGGGTTAATCAAAAAATTTGCGCACCCCTATTGGACATGGATCACATGATGGACTACGCTCCCCATAAAAAGCAATAATAGCATTTATCATAAACAATAACCAAAAACAGTACATGTACAGTATATATACATTTTTAGAACTTTATTCATTTTTTTAAAGAGTAAGTAACAGAACCCTTCTTCTGCAGAAGCATTCTAAACAGTTAATAAACACATTTGCAGCTTGCATCTTAACAATCAATAGCAGCAACGGCCGTATGTTTTTTTGCTCAAGAGCACTTTGCAATGTCTCATAACAGCAATAAACACTTATTAAATAAAGTTCTGTAATCTTAGGAACCGTCGTGTTTATCAATACTGAAAAACCATAGACTTAAACATCAATGACAGTAGCTTCAATTCGGAGCATAAAAGATTATGGAGAAATATGCAGCATTGGTGAAGAAATTGAATATGGCACAGACTGTGATACAATCAAAATTTTTAAAATAGTTTCAGACTGCTTTTAAATTCACTATAGTGATGTATAATTTATAATAATTAAAAATCTCATTAGAAATGAATACATTGCACTTCTCTATAAAACAGGACTTTTGAATTAGTCTATATATTAAAGATTATTTCTTTATAAGAACAATCTCTCTATAAGAACTCCTACTGTGTTCTTGTAGAGAAATGTGATAGTGACAGAAGATGGTAAATATATTAATTCCAACTATGAGAAATTGACTTAAGATCAAAGATTAATTCTTTTATTTATGTTTTTCAATAATCTAAAAAAAAATCACGGGGAAAGTTTATAATCGTGACTTTTATCCTGGCAATATATTATGAATGCATTCAACTCTTCAAATTTCTGATTAGGTCTTGGCATTCAAGCAGATATAAAAAATTCTAATCAAGAAATTATGGTGTACTTCCTTATATGAGTCCAGAGGTGCTAAATGGAATGCCATACACCAACGCTGCAAATAGTTATAGTTTGGGAAAAGTTGTGCACGAGGTTGTAACAGGTGAACGACCATTTTTGATGATCGAAGTCATATTATAAATCCCGTATTAGACAAGTCATTTTACAGTATATAGGAATACGAACTACGATACCAAATAATGTTCCCTGATAGTAAATTTTTATGTTGAAAAATGTTAAGATCCTATAGACTAGAGAAGCCACGTGGTGGAAACTGAATGCTTTGCATTTTCAATTCGACAGCTTTTTAGAGTATCCTAAAAACATTGACGTTAAGGCAAAAATAGATGAGATTGATAAGAAAATGGAATCGGAACCACAAAAAGCATTCTTGCATAACCACGCACATCTACTCAAATATAATTTACACCGGTCGAATCTTTACGTCAAAATTAATATCAATACCAACTGGTACAGATACGTATCTTTGTTTTTATATTCAATCAAACGAAGGTAAAATCATTATTCTCGTATATTTTTGTAAAAAGTTTATATATTTTTCTGCATACACGTACATGTAACTCTAGAATATGCAATTACAGAATTTATTATAGATATCATTACGACAATTATATTTTTCAACAAAATTGAATGTCAAAGAATAATAAACGTTCTTTTGAGAACGTGTTGGAAGAATTCAAATAACTGAAGATTTAAATTATTAACGACGTGAAGATTCCAGACATTACTTATTAATTTTGCTCATAAAAATTTTTTTAACATATATCCCTATATTTGAATACAATATAAGCACATAAAATTTACTGATGCATGCCGAAACAGTGCTTAGAATATTGAGACTTATATAAATTGTAATTTATCACGCATTAATTTGATTACTTATTAATACGCCACAAATTGGAGTTTGGTATGAATCGTTACCAACGTGACGCATAATTTTACATGTACGCATTATCTCCAATTATTCCAATTACCATCGTTAAATTACAAGCAAACTGACAAATCAATGTCATCCTTTTTTTCAACGGTTTCTTTTTAACAAATGCATGAAACTATCAAAAGCGCACTGTGTCACTTTTATGTATCGGCATGTATATTTATAAAGTGAACTTGGTCTAGTATTTTTAATATGTCAGAAATGATTACTGTTTCAAACTTACCAATTAATAAATGAGAAATAATGCAAAAGAGTGTTCAAGAACTTATAAGATGAATAGACTGTCAAAATAAAGGCACTGGAAGAAAATTTCGAATGGATTCCTTTTGAAGATTCATAAATGCTGAATATCTTGCTCAAGGAAGTTTGAAATAATTCATGAAGGAACCTATATAATGAAAATTGGTAGCATCGAATTATCTCATAATTCAAAGCTGGATCAAAGTTCATTAGAATATGACATTGTTGTAGAATGGCTAAAAACACAAATAAATGTACAATGTATTATTCTTAATATCTTCAACGAAGAATTGACTTGGGGGAGAAAATTAAGTTTTTCATTTTATTTATGCATTATCTCTGCTCTGAAAATATTCAAGCAACCTGAAATCTATTATTAAGGCCGATACTTTCAATGCCAGTAGTTATAGGAATTTGCAATACTTTTAATTTGGCCAATAAATGCCATATGAAATTTCGAATCAAGAAATTCAATTAAGGTGTAAGAGAAAAAGTCAAAAGATTTAAGACAATTATGTGAAAACAAACAATTATAACAATCAAAGAAAATATACATAATACTTTACTGCATTTACCAAATATAGAATATCATAAATCTTACAAAGAAATACGAGGTACATGTACATATAAATGTACCGGTACGTCTTTGATCGACAATATGCCATTGTATTACGTTAACTTTAAAGGTATCTTTTGCCGATCAAAAAATGTAAACGTCATCAATACATCATCAAAAAAAATATGTTAAATCGTCTGATGGTGTGCATTGCGTCATCAGCTACTATGTGAATCATGTGAAATCATTTGATTTTTTAAGTAATCAAGCGTAAAAACTTTCGGCGGAGCTATAAAAACACTGAGAGAAGTTGCGGAAGAACCTGAGCTATCATTTGAATACAATAATTACGATGTTGTCAAGTTTGCTTTTTAAAATATATACAGTTAACTCTGTATATGTATAACGAACCTTTTCGTAACGAAATGTAGCAAACTTGAATTTCAAATTTATTATGGTTATAAATTCGTTATCATAATACAGTCGTCTTTAGTTGTTAACAACTCCGATAAGATCAACATCCCGTTGTTAGCAATATTGGTCGCAGAACAGATAATAAATTATATATTAACCCTAAACCCCCGCGGTTATATCCACCTTCCCTCGTATGTATCAACAAAATAGCTTGGTCTCATGATGTTGGTAACAACGAGGGACGACTGTAATTTGATATAACAATAGAACCGTCAGTTTGCAATTTCTAGATTTTTGTATATTCGTCATTACGTACAGTGGCTGCCAAATGTTTTGCATCATTCAAACGACAAATTTAAACATTAACTTGCTTTCTCGCACATAAAAAATAAGAATTAAACATGTATGTATCACCGAAATTAAAAATGACACCCGACTTGCTATTGACTTTACATTCAAACAGGCTTGATGAATTTTACAAAAATTCAAACTATTGTGATATTTCGATTATTGTTGGTGAAAATCAAAACACACTTCGTACTTTTTCAGCACTCAGCAATCTTGATGGCGCAGTCGCATGATTTTGCGGTAGCACTTGCTGACGCGCGAACCAAATAAGATGATTGTTTTTAAGAAACCTAACATCGAACCACAAGTTTTTGAATTTTGTTAAGGTAATTTCATCAAAAATCAAATAACTACTATTAAATCAAATGATATATTTACAGTGGAAAAATTGATTTACAAGATCACGGTGTTTCAACACTTTTGGATTTATTAATTGCGGCTGATGAGATGATTCTTGAGGATCTAATTGAATACATTCAAATTTATCTTCTCGAACACCATTCTAAATATTTGGAAGAAAGTTTTGTCATCGTTAATCAAATCGCATTCGAGCATAATTCTTTTATCAATATTCAAAAATTTTGCACAGATATCGTATGTCAAAATCCAGTCGCTATTTTTCAATCAACTAATCTACGCGAATCAGCTCTAATTTCTTTACTTAAACGTGATGATCTAATTTTGAATGAAATCGATCTTTGGGAAAAGGTGCTTGAATGGGGGGGTCTCTCAAGCTGCAGATGGTGACAAAAGTGATCTAATGATTCCATTGGAAAATTGGACACATAACGAATTTAAACAATTTAAACAACTGAAATCTACTCTCGAAAATTGTTTCCCATTTATTTTTTTCTTTCACATTAATACAGTTGACTTTTTATAACAAAGTCATGCCATATGTTGAAATTTTGCCAGGATCACTATATAAGGATTTATTGCATCATTATGAGGTGCCAGGAATCGAAGAACAAAAGGTTACCTTACATCCATCAAGCTCGCAATTCTGTCGCATAACCAGATCTCCAAAATAATCAAGTGGGTTAAAGAACAAGAGGATAATCATAAAATTAAATCAATTGAATTGAAATTATTACTTCGAGGTAGTTGTGATGAATTTATGCCTGCAGACTTTCATCGTCTGTGTGATAAAAAAGGTCCATCAATTGTTGCGATTCGCGTAAAAGATGAAGAGAAGATTATTGGTGGTTATAATCCGTTTGAATGGAATTCACTTGATAAAACTTATAGCAATTTAAATAGCTTTTTGTATAAATTTGATTCGGAAGATATTCACGCATGCAAATATAGAAAAAGCACTAGTGTATATTGTTATATAAATTATGGACCAGCTTTTGGAAGTGGTTATGATTTAAAATTATCTGTCACCAATTTTAATACATCGTATTCAAATTACTGTAAAAAATCTTCTTCCTGTGAACATGGTTTGTTGAAAAAATAATTTTGTAGCTACAGAATATGAAGTGGTATCAAAATAAATTTATTTTTTGGTTTTATTTATTTGCGAAAGATATAGCGATGGAATGCTATGCTTACGTAGTAAGTTAATAAATTTTCTTTTAAAATTAGTAAATAAAATGTGATTTATAATATAACCAATAATTTAGCATTTAAAATTTTTTTATTAGAATTTTTAAAGAGCAGAAAATATCTATTTCACAAAAAATTACTATGTTATAATTTATGTTTGAATTAAATTGACAACATTTATATTTATTAATTTAACTAATATTTTAATATATTTAAATTTAAATAGAATTTTATATAATTAAAATTAGCAATTTCTACTTAATTAATAAAAAATATCTAGAAAATATAAAAAATGATATTAAAATAACTATTAAAATTAGCAATTTCAACTTAATTTAATATTATTTATTTAAAATTAGCAATTTCAACTTAATTTAATATTATTTATTTAAAATTAGTAATTTCAACTTAATTTAATATTATTTATTTAAAATTAGCAATTTCAACTTAATTATTAAATTATTTATATTATATATTAAGTTTATAAAACTATAATATCAAATAATTTGATTTGATATTTATTATATAATAATTATAAAATTAAAATAACATTATTTTACTTATGATTTTTCTGTTTTTCATATAATAATATTTTCATATTCAAAAACTGTAATTTTATATTACTTAAAAATAATAATAATAAAGAGAAATAGAATTCAAGGATAAATCTAATAAAAAAATATTAAATAATTGGATAATTAATTATTAAATAAACATATATATAAGTATAATTTATTTATTAATTTAAAAATAATTATTTAGTATTTTTATAAATAAATGCATATATAAGTATAATATTTTATTAAATTAATTAGTATTTTTACAAATGACTTAAAAAGTTATAAAAAAATATAAAGAATTTTATTTTTTATAATCAGAAAATTAGATATACTCAAAAAAGTACAATAAAATTAAATATATAAATAAGTTGCAATTAGTATTTAAAATTTGTTAATTTTTCTGTAAATAGCTGGTAAAAACATTCATTTTTTATATTTATTTTTTTTAATATATTTAGTTTTATTAATGTAGCTCGTTATAAAATGACTTTGAGATATAAAGAATTCATATATAATTATATTGTAACAATCATGAAGAAAAAAGAATATCTAATTTCATTAAGAAAATTTTTTCTTTAAATCACATACTGATAACTTTGCTTCAGAAATGTCAGATATTATTTAACAATCTGAATTTAGGAAATTTGTTACAGATTTAGTTCCAGAATGTCAGATTGCAAGAGAAAAATGCAAAAAAACCACATTTTAAATCTGTTTCCCAAGCTAACCTGATCACTATAGGTTGTTGTGGAAATTGTAAAATATAAAAATATCTAACGAATATTTATTATAGCCGGATTTTTAATTATTCGAAATAGTTAACGTTAATATTGATATAATTATTAGTTTCATTAATCTACTTTTGAAAAATTTGTATTAGATACAAAGAAAATTCCCCTTACAAGATATTCAATTTAATAAATCTTTCAAAATGAATCATCGCATAATCATATGCGTCATTAATTTGTTAATTTCTTTATCTCCGTTAGACAATTTATAGATTCATTTGTCATATTTAAACAGACATCGCAGTATCTATTCTATTAATAAATCCAATATTTATTATGGTCTCAAGTATTACGAACTAAACACTCTTTGCAGCAGCAATTTTCTTAATCGTTACATGTACATGTATACAATTCAAATTCCATATGTGATAAAAAACTTTTTTATACCATGTACAGTACATGTAATACATTAATTTTATTCATACAAGATTATTACTAAACTTTATCTTGGAATTGAGGTATACTGTGCCAAATCATCATGAAATGCAGCACGATGATACTAATAAATACCGTAAATCATGGTCTATAGTACTTTCCCTTGTAAAAAATCTAAAAATTTAGACCTCAATTTAACTTTTTTAATAGAACTAAATATTTGCTTCAGAATAATTAAATTTAAATTCATATATAGTTTCTTAAAACTTTAGTTACCGATTTACTAGTCTTGAGGTTTGAGATTTTTTAGATCTTTTACAAGGGATACTATCGACTGCGATTTATCATAGCCTTTAACTCACTAACTGCAGTCTCATATTTATTTTGACAACAATTTATTTCGCCATAAAATTTTACCAGTTTTTTATATAATGCAAATTCATTTGAAGGTGTCACACCTTATTAATTGTTAATATTGTAATATTGGTATCGCCAGTTCTGTCTCTGAATAGTTCAGATTTTTGAAGCTGAATTCGTTACAATATCAGTAAAGAATGATTAGACACATTCATAGTACATGTATTAGTTGTGAATATATGTGTAAATGATTCATTACGAAGTTCCTACATGAAGTCTATTAATTATTTATTTTTATTAAATTTGTTGGTTTCATTTGTTTTTTTGAGCAAAAATATTGATGTTTCTGGTTTAGTCAATTTCTCTGTCGTTATTAAACATTTCCATTTGCGTACATGTAAGCACTCAAATTGACAATGCGTAATGTTACCAAACGACTTGTTCAAGTTCTTTGTATGAGATACTAGTTTTGTTTTGAAAAACACATGTACATGATATTTGAAAATTTGGATTTTATTAGAAACGGAAAGCATCTTTCACTTAAAATGTACATTTTTACCTCTTGAATAGATGTTTTGAATTGAGAAATCAAGGTGAATCTAATAAAAAAATTGGGTAGATGATTGCGCAGATACAGTAGGTATAAAGCATTCTGTTTTTAATTAAATTTCGCAAATAATTGATCGGTGTTTTTTTACAGATAAAATTTAAACTAGAAAATTAAAGTCCGTTGATTCTTCCAGTTGCCGATCTTGTCCGGATATTTTAGTCAGGCCGGTGTACATGTACATCTCGTAAGGACATAATATGAACATCGTACATCTACTTGAAAGTAGCTGAGTCAGGAAATCCTAGAGCAGAATTTAAGCTTATCATAATCTATGCTGAAAGTATGGAAAATATCATGGTGAACTATCAGAGTTGCTTTTAAAATCTGCTAAAAATGGTAATGCTTTTTCTATTTTCGACTTGGACAATGCTATGAATATGGAGAAGGGATAAATAGAGATAATGATGAAATATTGAAATGTTATTTAAGAACCGCAGAGACTGGAAGCAATAAGCTCAATTTAATTTTATCAATATGGAATAGGTGATTCAAAAAATCTTAACTTAGCATTAAACTCAAAAGGCTAAAGAAAACGGTCATGATCAGCTTCCGAAATAGTTGAATCTTTCAATTTTGAAAAATTATACTCTAATTCATAGTTGCAATTAGCACTTGATCAATTATGTTTGAAATTACATATACAGCTCTAAATATCTCTCTAAATGCAAGATAACTCAAATATTTGCTTAACCTCCATAATACAATTTTTTTATCTAAATGTGCGATGTCAAAAAGTTGGTCCGAGCAAGTCGCATTTAGGGAGGTCTGAATTTATGCAAATTATTTAACATTAATATCCTGTTTCCATTCCTGAGTTACTTTATTTATCATCATTATATATGTGCATTATTGTATTTGCCTTCAAAGTTTTATTTTAACATGCAATATCATTTTAACACAAATTTCACAAACACAACATTTTGATTTGTTGCAGATGTAAATGAATACATGTACATGTAATAATATTTCATGTTCAGAAATAATAAAAGCATAACAATCCCAAAAATAAATTCCTATAGAAACATAAGAAACTTATATAATACGCATTAAACAGTCTATGAGAAAAGTGTCCGCCAAGAAGCAATACTTTATCGCGGGTCCGTCTGCGTTGGCAACCAGCGATGGCGCATTCCGGACGTTCTCTTGCAAGGATCAAACTTTACCAAGAGGACAATGTGCAGGAGGAAGCGGAGTATCTTGATGTGTTATGTTTAGAAATTTCGTATGAACCATGTTATAAAATTTTTTTAACTTTATGCTTAGGTTTTTAGCAAGCGTTTCCTATATTCCTTGCTGGACAAAGTCTACGGAGGTGTTGGCGTGTTCGACGGTTTGCGGAGAATTACATTAAACCATTATTAATATGGACTTATATTTATAAAATATTTTTGACATTTAGGCTCTACCAGACTCTAACATGAATTATGTGAAGAGAAACGCAGTCTTAAATTATCAATATGCAATGTCATTGTAAAAAATTAAAAAAACATATTGTTTATATGGTCCAGCACAAAAGATTGGTACATTAGATAAAGATTGATAGATTATTTTTTCAAAATAAAATTTTAATTCTGTCTTATTTAATTAAGTTATTGGTATTAGGATTTATTTAAATATAAAAATTTTATTATCTATCTTTTATAACAATAATGATAATCATTTTCTAAATTACTAGGGTAACAAAAACAAATACATGTACATGCAAATCATCAATTTCCCGTCTGTAGTGTACATGTGAATTTGTATCACCTATAAATGGGCAAAACTGACTTCTGTTTCAAATCCGCATTTAAAGTTAAAAAAAAATATGGAACTCGAAATTCTTAAGACCGCACACAGCAATAAACTATTCCGACTATACGAGACTTCGACTTTTTATGATGTTTCATTGATCGTCGGTGAGCAAACGGTACAAAAAACATTTTCTGCTCATAAGGCGATACTAGCAGCACAATCACAATTTTTTGTAATCGCTCTTTCTAGTAATAATGATACTGATAATCACAATATAAACCTGCCAAATATTACGCCAAGAATTTTTGACATTCTATTAAGGTACGGGATATTTGATCTCAGATCCGTCTTTTTTCATGCGATATTGTCTTTTTTAATCCAAAATCCTCTTCCTCAGATATTTATATTGTGGAATTATTGAATTGGAAGAGCACTATGAGCCAACAATTTTAGATATACTGGATGCTGCAAAAAAGCTTGAAATTGAAGAATTAGTGCATTTCATTCAGATTTATCTAGAAAAACGTAACACGCTTTCATTGACCGAGAAAACTTTTGTTGCTTCTCAATTAAAATTTGCACACAGCAATAATTTACTTCGGCTATATGAGAATACGAAGTTTTTTGACGTCCTATTAACTGTTGGTGAACTACACGCTCAGAAAACGTTTTTGGTGCATTCGGCAATCCTAGCGGCACAATCCCCATTTTTCGCCACGGGTCTTTCGCACACCTGGGTTATACGAGAACCTAATGAGAATAAGACAAAATTTAAGAAGCCAAATATCACCTCCCGAATTTTCGAAATCTTATTAAGGTATTCACAAGGAATCAATCAGTTGTAACAATTCCTAGATCCTGAGTTAAGGTTAAATTTTTTTAGGTATTTTTATGGTGGAATAATTGACGTGAAAGAATATTACATATCGACGATTCTTGATATTTTGAAGGCCGCTGATGAACTTCTCATCGAAGATTTGACACAATATATTCAAAGTTATTTGGAAGAGCACTGTAAAAATTTGATCTCGGATAACCTCATCATGGTCTCGCAAACAGCATTTGAACATATTACTCTAAAGAATCTCCAGAAAGTATGTGTTGATATCGCGACAGAGAATCCATCTTATATCTTCAATTCAAGCGAATTCACTCAACTTCACATGGATTTCCTGATCTCATTGCTAAGACAGGATTATTTCTACCTCACAGAAATTGAAATCTGGACGAAACTGATTGAATGGGGGATCTCACAACTTTCGGAAGTCAACTTGAAAAAATTGCCACTTGAACAATGGACAGATAAGGAATTCAGTGAGCTTGAATCAACCCTTTGTTACTGTCTACCACTGGTCCGATTCTATCAAATCAATTGCAACGATTATATCAATCGAGTGCTACCTTATTCAAGAATCTTGCCGGATTGGTTGTTGAGCTGTCTATCTTACTATTATCAATCCGCTGACGGTGTGGAAGATGCAGCTTTTAATTATCCAATTCGTGACATATATCTTGATTCGAGTATCTTGTCAAGGGAACAGGCATTTCGAATTGTAGAATGGATAAAAAGCGAGGATCAACGGCAAACAGGGCAACTCATTTTTAAATTATTGATCCGGGGTAGTAGTGATGGATTCGGGTACGAAAATTTCCACAAATTTTGTGACAATAAAGGACCAACCATCGTCGCGATTCGTGTCAAATATAGCCGAAAAATTATTGGCGGGTATAATCCCTATATGTGGACTTCGCGTGATGAACATTACGAAAATCTTCCCAGTTTTCTATACTCGTTTGATCGAAATAATCCTAATCAGGGATTGTTGAGTAGATACAAGAAAGGTGTCGGTGTTTGGTGTGTCGCTAAATGGGGACCTGCATTCGGAGGCGGCAGTGATTTGTGTCTATTTAATTCTACAAATTATTGCAGAAAATCTAGTTCATATGAACCTGCTTTGTACGAAAAGGATGCCGTCAACTTTGATATATCGGACTACGAAGTATTTCAAATTATACAAACGTGCAAAGGCTTCCTGTAGATTTTTTGAAAAAAATTATTCTTTACTTTGATTATGTTGATGAATATTTTAAGCTAAAGCCTCTCTTTGAAGATTTAAGAAATCTTTGATACATCAAAAGTAATGATAGTTTTTGTATCAAAAAGTTACCGGAAAATAAATAAATTGGATTGGATTTATATTAAAGCTGCGCAACACATCAATATGAGATAATAATTACATGTATTAATTATTCCATTTGAACCTATTTGCAAGTACTGGGAAGAATTTTTCTATCTAATTGTCTTTGATCGTATTTGTGCCTATTTAGAATCTTGTTCTGGGTTAGTTTTTCGATAACTGAGCTTTGTGACAGTAAAAAAGAAAACTAATATTGCTATGCATATACTGCATTTTATTTAAAAATTACTTCTTTTATATGCGTTTAGAAATACAATGGCTCATAATTATTGTCCCGAGGAGCAAATTTATTAATAAAGCATAGTAAAAATTGAAAATTTCTCTAAAGTTCTCGATTTTATTAATAAATAATTTTTAAATACATACATGGCTTTTTCAGAGAAAGTTAGTCTAATTGCATGTATACAATTACTACGAGAAAAAATCTATTAGTAAACTGAGAAATTTAATACGAGAGTAATTTCTATACGTCTGGCACAATAGTTATGAAGTTACTATATAAAATGTCATATTAAATTAAATCTCTCTTATGTAACAAAAAGCAATAATAATGTAATATTCATGTACAATGAATATTCAGATCATGAAGAATGCTCAATCATAATTCTAAATTCTGACATTGATTTCATGGTTACTGTAAAATGTTTCGCACATTTTGAGAAAAAAGATATTGACACCTTTCGAATGAATAAAAGGTTTTGAAACAATTTATAAAGCTACCTTGTACATACCATTAGATGATATTTGAATTATGGAGAAAAATTAAAGATATTATGTTGATTACATTAAATAAATTTTTTAAAGTGTTCTTTATTTTTTAATACAATTGAATTTTAATATTGCTATATAATATGCTAATTTACAATGGAATTAATATCGCTCGATAATATTAGTCTAACTGCGAAGGAATGAATTGGAAAAATCAAAACGCTCTGGAAATACGTATGTATATGTGAATTTCGACCATTGCACTAACAAAACAAAGTAGTGCTTAACGAATCCATACATTTAATGAATTCAAATGTTAATATTGAAGAAACACATCAAGGACTTATTAGTATAGTCATACTTGAAGAAAGGAAATGATTTTGTATGTTTTACTTTAACTAGATAAAAATGAAAAATTATCAGGTTTCAAAAGTATTATACTTGTTCTCGTGCAGGTACAAAGCAAATACATACTGAAGGACTCTAAAAAAACAGCATATTCAGAAGGGAATCAAAAAAAATTCTTTTTAATATGTCATGAAAATTCAATACCAGCCAGTTATTTTTTTAATAAGATCATTATTATTAATACAGATATAATGCTAATATTCAATAACTAAAGAAATCCACAGACGCAATTTCTAAAATCAAAATCTTGTACATCGGGAATTTTGAATAACTGAACATACTAGCAGAAATAATTGAAAGTACCCATATATATATATATATATAATGACAAAATAATAATATTACATGTATATTGTATAAATAATACATGTAATAAAATTTTTGTTTCAAGTAGAGATATATATATATATACTGTATTACAGTGATAAATATAAGTAACCTACTAATATATAGTATAGTCTTCATCAGCCTCAATTAGTATCTAAATTCAGTTTTTTATACTATTAACCAGATTTATAGCAAGTTCATTAGAAAGATAATTTTACTTTTTCATTAATTCTCTCATTAATTTTTTAACTGATCAAATTTTTTTGTACATATTAATTTTTAATAGTTGTCAAATATTTTCTATAAAATTTTGATTCAGTGACATAGCTAGTTATGAAAGCTTATTGATACCATTTTCTGTCTTCTAGTTTTTCACTTTTTTTAAACATTATTAAGAATTATTATCTTCTTGCAAGATTCACTCTAAGTTATCTTCATCAAAAAATTTTTCAACAGAAGCTAAAAAATTCCTCTCATAGATATTATACATAAAATTAGTCTTGAGATTCTGTTAAAAACAAAATAATTTATCAAATCACTAAGACAAAAATCAATCTTAGATGAAACTTTGATGGATGCTTAATCATACAAAATATTTTTCAAATTGCCAAGCCTTTTAATTTGATTGATATAGTTGAAATGTGCTTTCATCTGTAGAAATCACCTGATTCCAATTAAAATTCTGATGCTTTTTCATTGATTTTCATTAAATAATAGTTTAGAAATTTCATTCATAAATTTTCCTTCAACTATAACAAGACATCACATCATCTAATTGTTCTCATACTGATGTTAACGTTTTATTTTTTGAGTTTTTGCTGTATTTCAATACTAGTTATATCATGTTTCATCTTTGCCATTTTAACAAATTTTCTTCCATCAGTCGGTCCAATAAATTACTATGAGTTTAATGCAACCAATGTAATTTGCTGTGGCTTCGAGTCCAGCTTTGGTCCTTTTGGATGTGTATGCAAAAAGATAATTTCATATCATTTATGAAGTGGAAGAACCAAGATATCGATATTTAGACAATCACTGAGATTATTTAAAACGTAGATGATCAGCATTTGTATTACTCTAAAATATTTTCATATAAAAAAAGTTCAAGAATAACATAACGATGTATACGAAAGCAAGTGATTAAAGAAATTAATCACTGTGTCACAATATCGATAATTCGATTACATATAACGATAGTACATGTACAACGAGAACGATACCGATTTCGATAAATCGATAACTCGCTTTCCTTCACCAAGAAACAGATAAAGATTATCATTAAAATTAACCGAAAAAAAAATGACACCCGACATGCTATTGACTTTACATTCAAACAGGCTTGATGAATTTTACAAAAATTCAAACTATTGTGACATTTCGATTATTGTTGGTGAAAATCAAAACACACTTCGCACTTTTTCAGCTCACTCAGCAATCTTGATGGCGCAGTCGCATTATTTTGCGGTAGCACTTGCTGACGCCTGGGTGAGGCGCGAACCAAATAAGATGATTATTTTTAAGAAACCTAACATCGAACCACAAGTTTTTGAATTATTGCTAAGGTAATTTCATGCAAAAAAATCAAATAACTACTATTAAATCAAATGTAAGAATCATGAAAATTTTGCAAATTTTAATAGATATATTTACAGTGGAAAAATCGATTTACAAGATCACGGTGTTTCAACACTTTTGAATTTATTAATTGCGGCTGATGAGATGATTCTTGAGGATCTAATTGAATATATTCAAATTTATCTTCT